GCTTCTAACCGAGGTCATGCTTGTTTCAACTGCTCAATCATGCCCATATTTTCGAGTAAGCACACCAGAACCAAATGTGCTTTTGAGAAACCCACCTGAACGCCTAGACTGCAATACATTAAAGTTTATTTCCAATTTAGCTGATTAATCCCAATCACATCAATCGATAGCGCCCGAAATTCATGCCAATGCGACACATGCGTCCTATACTTACACACAAACAAACGCCTACACATGTGAAAGATAGGGATGCACAGACGGGTGCAATTGATGCCAGTCGACATTCAGGGTTAGGCGACTTGAGTGTATAGCGCGTAGCGATGATTGATTAATTCAACTCAACACCATCATTTGTCTGATTGAAGAGAACCTGCCAAAGGTAGAAGCAATCGGAACGAGGGCTTCTCAAGAGCTGAGGGGCTGGTGGGCGAATGGAATTGTACCAGATGAATTCTTGTGTATGCATTTGTGCATATGTGTGTGTGTGTGTGAGTGTGTGTTCGGTTAGGCTGTATCCTTCATTCCTAAAATAAGAGGCTGTCAGAATGGTGGCAGACAATTCAAGTCGAGGGCGGGTCTCTGCTCGACTCTCGAGATCCGCTACTCACGGAAGGGAGGAAGATCAAATAGAGAAGCTGCGGATGGGATGATTCGACAGAAGGCCAGCATGTTTGGCGCGACAGCTGAGAGGCTAGGCAATGAGACTGTGCAGACTAAGTCGGAATTCCCTCTCCGGCCGAGGGGCGTTTTAGTCTTTGCCGTGTCCCATGCTTCCCTTCCACCCACCCACCCCCCCTCATCCCCCTCGGAGCAACACCGTACTTGCCCATAGGTCAACAAAAACTCTCCTTCCTTGCTGCTTCTGTTGGTGGACAGGCTGGAGCATAGGGACTGACAAATGTATGAAATGGGCACATCACTTGTAGACACCGTTGGCACTCATTAGTCTCCTTTAAATGCATACAAGATGCAACAAAGCACACCTACACACGTGAATTTGGTACCAAGTGAGCAGAAAGGAAGAGGCAACTAGCAGCAAATCCGGTCGCCTGTAAAGCCGAGATTGACAGGTGAATGGACGAGACGATCTGGCCGATCTACTTCGAGTTCGAATAGCCACAAATGCTGCCATCAAATGTGTACGCATTTGTGTGTGTATGTGTGTGTGTGTGTGTTAGTGTTCGTACATGCGTTGTATGTGAAAAAGCGTACGGAAAAGTAGTAGATATTGGGCTAGATTTTTCGCGAAACTGTGATGAACATACGGACTTGGGTGTGTATAGAGAGTATGTTAAAAGAAGAAATGGGGAGGACTTGAGAACTGCCGACTGTTCAGAAATGCCTGCTTGCCTTTTTCTTGCCCAACGGCCTTGAGACAACAAGATGAGTAAGAATTGGCTGAATTGTCAGTCTGGAACTGGCAGAGGACGACTAAGTGAAAGTGAGAATAGAACGTGGACAAGACGAGGTGGGCAAGTGAGGCAAAAAGAGGGGAAAAGTTGAGTCGAGGTGAGCAAGACAAGCGGACTGACGGCAAAGAGTGGTTGGGCGGCTGAGTGGCTGAGCGGCTGGGTGGCTGGGCGGCCGGTAAAGTTCATCAGGGAGACGAGTTGAAGAGGCGGCGAAGTGGAGGGGCGTGAGCACGGGGTACGAGTAGGGGGACGGAGAAGGATATGCATAAAAAGGAGATGGACAGAAGGAAACTGGGAGGCGTAACCAGCCTTAAGAAAGGGTCAATTATTCAGTTGCCTTGGCCGGGCGTACTCAAGACTGGGCTAATCGATAATTCTAAGACGACACTCCTACCCCGTATCCAAGAGGTGGAGACAAAATGCATTTGTATGTGTTTGTGTATGTGTCCGTTGACCCATGCCTGCCTTAAGAGGGCTAGACAACTGTGCTGAAAGTGTTTTTTGACCATTTTTCTGTGAGCCTTGGCTTCCTGTATTAAGCGGCAATGCCGACCTCCGGCGTCAGAAAAAAGACTTGTATGCCTTTTCACGACTGCTAATTTTGGCACAGCAACACAAACGAATGCAGGCATGTGGCGGCCTGTCTCAAATTCGCGTTAATGCCACCGGCCGAAAATCCGGGGGCAAGAAGCCTCTGGAAAGCGAAACTGTACCAACGTGTGGTGTGTTTTGGATGTTGACACCTCAGAGCCTCGGCATCAGATCACCAAGCAACCCCTCATGCTTTGTTCCGACTAGAACCTCGACTTCGCAACTTATTCGTGCTGCCGCGGGTACGAAATTCTCTGCCGTGCTAGTTATCATAACTTTTAGCGTTGGTCTATCGACCTGGTACATTCCCAAACAAGTTGAAAGAAGAAATCAAAACAAGTAAATGTACGATGATGGACGGAGAAATGCTACTAATGTTCAGCAAAAGAGTGGACTTTTCTCGTATGTTTGACAAGTTTTAGCTTGTTGCTAAGAATGAAAAGGCTCACTGACGATGCCGGCGAAGCGTCTGCAAATACACCAAGTCCAGGTTCCGACACTATCATGGCAGAGGACTTTGGACAAGGTATGTTTATTTGGGTAGCCATG